TAGTGGTGGCCTATGCGAGAGCAAATCTCAGCGCCGAACGATCAAATAAACTCGTTTTAAGGTCAAGGTCTTGCAAAAATACATGATTAGGTGCAACTTCTTTAAGTTGTCTATATTAATGTATGATTTATATAATGAACAATTTATATCGAGTTTTAAGAACAGTCAAAAAGTGTAAAATATTGAATATCAACAGAACTTACGTAATATATCGATTTACAACTTCTGTAGGCTTCCCTATTAAATTAGACACCACAATTAAGTTGACAAGAGTATCTGGGTCATTGTTGTTCTGTAAAGTTGTGAAAATAGATAACGTAAATCAGGTTTAATCATAATATTTACAAGCAAGCAAACTTAATCATTATATATACTTTGTTTAATGCTTCCAACAATAAGCTCTCAGCTTCCGGATATCTACCAAGATGAATATTACATACTGCTTGCCCATTCAATACTTTAACCGTGTTGGATGATGGTGATTGAGCAATTTCTTCGTAAATATAATACGCCTCTTGATATTTGTCGCCACCCTTAATAAAAGTTGAAAATTTTTAGGTCTAAAATTAATATAAATCTAGATAAAGTTCAAGACAACTCACAGTTCTCAATCCAACCCATGCTTCTATTAATTGTGCAAGCATTGCATCTTCTGCCCAAGTTTTTGTTGCTGCGATCTCCCTTTTTGCAAGATCTAAGCGATCCAACTGTAGATATATTTGGATTATCAACGCAACACTATGATAAATACCAATTTCGTCACAAATAATTACAAAGGTTTCGTTGTAAAAATAAAATCACATTATAATCAAGAATGTTACCATTCTAAATTCCTATTATGTCGAACCAAGATTTTCAATGCGTCCTCAAATAAACCTTCATGATAATAAATCATACCAGCAATGACTTGAACTGTTGAATTTGACACATTTGCAGCATCACTCAGTATCTCTTTAATTTCCTTAAGAGCTTCCTCTTTTTTTGTTTCGGAAGCCTGACTACCACTTTTAGACTGTAAGTATTCAGCCAAAATCTTAACTACGCGCAAGTCTATCGGATCAGAATCCTTTATTTCTGTAATAACAATATTATGCTTGCCTTGAGCTACGTAGGCACGATACAGATATATTTTGCGCTCCAACTTTGCGCTATCTGAAACAGATGTGCGACTACTACCCTCATTTATCACCTGCTGAAAGGAACCTGAATATAAGTTGTAAAAAAAGTTATTTTATATTATTTCATGTATAAATATAAATCTTAGAGTTGTGCATTACCTGTATAAAAGAGATTACGCAAGCCAAATAATTCATCCATTTTCTGTTAAGTCTCGGTGGTTGAAATTTCTGACCATATATCAGGAACGGTGATTTGCTATACCACATGATCGTGATATGACTGCGTATCCGATAATGTGCTGCAATGCATAGTGTGTAATATCTACCTACGTTATACGCGATATAATAGCAATAGCCAACCATGTTCAAAATTTAGTCTGTCATGTGACTGCCGAGCATGAAGCCGGATCCGCTCAAAGACAAAGTAGCGCAAGATTAAATAAATAAAGGTCTAGGTGCGTACATAAGTAGAATTTTTTTTAATCAGGTATAAAAAAACTTTCTCGTGCGTTTGCCATTAAAAAGATTCATTTTCTGTGCAACAATTCAAAATTTAATTACGTCATTGAACTAAGAAATTCGACATTTTTCAAATCATGAATCCAGAAATATGGTCTGTAAAGGAGGTTTGCGATTGGCTTCGAAAAGAAAACTTTGAAAGACTAATAGAGTTATTTGAAGGTATCTATGGACGCGCACTGTTAGAGAATACGCGTTAATGAGCTCTTAAGTACAACGCGACTATATTTTTTTAATTACACATGATCACATTAAAAGAATTTTATACTTTTTTGCATTGATTTGCACACCTATTTTCTGTAGAAAATAATGTAGACGGCAAAGCTTTAATGAAGCTTGATATAGAAAAGTTACGCCGATTTAAAGTGCCTTCCAAAGATCATTATGTTTTCCTGAACACAGTAGAATTGCTTAAATCTAAATCTATTCAAGGGGGTAAGAATATCTTGTTAATAACATATTATGTAGTATACCGGGTGTTTGATAAGTCCCTGGACAGACCTTTTTATTGATCACTTTAATTATCAAAACTATTACTTTTTAAGTAAATAACAAAAAAGGTCCTGTCCAGGGACTTATCAAACACCCGGTATATTGTATAATTTGCATGATTAGATAGATTTGGTTTATTTGCAAGTTGGAAAGGAGATGTTAGTTTATTTTAAGTTTACATTCTGTTTTTTAATCATTTCATTTGTTTTAGATAATCCTCATCCCCCAATCGCTCGTTTAATTCTCCCTCCGGATCCATCAACTTTATTACCATTTGAAATTCAAAAGGAAATAATAGATCTTGAAGATGGTACTGACATTAGTACTAGTGATAATGAAATGTTCGAAAGTGATGAAAAGTCTGGTGACGACGAAGCAAGTTCAATGGATTTAGATGATGAAGAAAACTTAAATGATGAAGTGAGCCTTGATGAAGATGAAGATTCACGTTTAAATGTATATTTAGACGATGATGTAGATTCTTTCATGCACTCTAATGAAGATTCACTATCTCGTTTTCGTGCTGCACCATTTGGAGCAGAGCAATTTACAGAAGAAGAATATAAAAGAGCAGAGGAGAAGAAATCAGATTATGGATATCTTAGGCGTTGGATGTACATGGAAGACGATGAATTACTTCCAGTAAATACCTAACTTTTTTTATATATTTAGAGAATCTTTCTAAGAAATGAATTTGTATGTGACCATCATTTCGTTCTACTAAGGTATATGGCGAAAGTGATGAAGAGAACAATTATATTTCTAGTGATCTTGAAGAAGAAGTAATGGAAGAGGAAGATTATATCAGACAGAAAGGAGAAACAAGCCTCTTTATTATGAGAAATGCTGATGATAAAGAGTCAGAAGTTATAATGTCTGATGGCTTAATAGAGCCTCAGGTTGATCGTGCACATCAAATGATCCTTGATTATATTAATGATTTTAAAAAAATCTGGGAAGATAAAGAGTAAGTGTCAATATCTACCAATACTTTTTGTTATATATTACATGAATACAATTAATTTTTTTGATTACAAAATTATTGTGTACAGGTTGCAGAAAATAGAAACATCGCGCTACAAATATTGGAGGAAATTATTCCCACGAAAGCAACAGCGTGAACCCCAAAAAGTTATCGATGAATTAACAGAACAACTACACAAATTGAATAATGAGGTAAGACTATGTAGTGTCGTTAGAAATGGATACATAATATCAGCAATACAAACTTTTATATGCGTAAAGGTTCCTTTATACTATAAACTTTATTGTTTAGAGTTTTATTTATTTAAAATAAATAAACAAATTTTTTTAAATTATAATACAAGAAATTTTTTGAAGAAATGAACTTCTATATAATCTAAAAAAAAAAAAAATTGTATATTTATATTTCACATGCTCCATGATAAAAAAAAAAAAAAAAAAAGGGCTACGAATATCATTGTACTTAAATTTTTTTAATCTGCCAATTTTTAAAATATTATAAACTAAGATTATATAATCAAATTAATGCAGCGCCTTCCTCAATTAATCAACCATGTGAAATCCAATATTGAATCAAAGTCAACATTTGATAAAGATGCTAAACGTCAATGTGGAATATTGGATCCAACTTTACGAGATATATACTTATTAGAATGGAAGGTATCTCTGGCAAAAGGGCCACCACCGCCCAAGCCTGATAATAAACCTCGGCAAAAAATATTTAGTGTAAGCTATGCTAATATGTAGCTTGATTTTATGATTGCAGTGATTCAGTTTATATAAATTTGACATTTTTTAGGTCGAAGAAGTTGATAACAAGGATGCGGTAAACCAAGAATATGATAGTGCTGATAGCTATGAGTCAGATTTCATTGACGATTCCGAATATATATACACCCCCGAAGAACTAGCAGAACTGAGAGATGCTGGGATCATAATTGGTACTAAAGTGTTAAAATATTGTTAATTATTTCTTATTATGCAATAATATTTAACAAAATTAATTATAGAACCTGTGGAAATTGGAACAGCTGTTGCAGAACCGTCGACTACCTCACCAGAACAACCGATTGATAAGCCAGAGCCCATTAACGATGACAAAAAATCGATACAATTGTCACCTAGTTCACCTAGTGTTTTAAGTATCGAAAAGAAACATTTGCTATGGGATGGGAAAGAGGTAGAGATAATTGTATTAGACAGTGATTCTGAAAAGGACGATGATGTGACTATTGAAAAGGGTAACAAAGTTCTAAAGGAGGTGGTCAGCACTCGAGATCCTGACAGTGCGGCAGCTTCTAAGGTGAACAATGACAATAATATGGTGCTGGACTGTGATGATGAATACATCTACATATACGACGATGATGACGAACATGCATATCTAGACCAACAGCAACAGGAAGAACAGAGGATTTTAGAGGTTGATTCTGACGAGCTTTTCTTAAAAGACGATCCACAGGGTAAATAACATTTTATCATACTTTTCAAAACCTGACATGTCTTAATGTGTAAATCATCAAATATTATTTTCTAAAGATTTGATGCAAGACATACAATCAGCAATATTTTATTGGCATTGGGATGAAGACGTGAAGAAAAAGTTACCGATGGCTCCATTAATAAATGACGATTTTACACTTTACTTACAACTTCAGAATGCAATATCCAGATCTACACTTAGTCCTGAAGCTGTTGAAAAACTTAAAAGGGAACTGCCTCCGATACCGGAAGGAAAACTTGACGCTCGTGAATCATGGGACAATTACTTTAAATTTAGAAAGGAATATGCTATTAACAAACGCATGGCTCAAAGGCAAGTTATATAATCTAGAGTTACATTTATATCTCTGTATAACATTTTTGATTTACCTTATTGGATTACAGGGATTCCGACGATGAGCGTTATGAAAAAAATTATATTGGAGATAGTGATGATGATGACTTGACTTATGCTTCTGGGAGTAAAACTTCATCACGCCCCAAAAAAAGATTTAAAGAAACTGCTGAAGTAATTGAACAACGCAAAGAAAGAATGGCTCTTGAACAGGGATACAGTAGGCGTTATGCGGAGTAAGCTATGATTTGGTTACTTTATGGTGGTTTGGTGTAATTGTTAACAAACCTGATTTACTTGAGATTTACAGGCAAGAAAAACTTGCAGACCCAAAGGATGGGGTATGAATAATTTAATGGTTTTGAATTTGATGTTAAAAATGCTATACTTTATATTTTTCTTTAAATTTTATAGGTCATTATTAACCTTGGGCATCTTGAAAACGAAGACAACATCTACATTCCTGATTCATTAAGTAAAAAATTGAAGCCTCATCAGGTAATAATTGGCGTATAAATATATGTTGAACTCTCACAAAAGTTGTATACATGGAGGATAGACTTTACATTAGTATTTTGTGGTTATCAGATTTTTAAAAAATTATAAACAATTAGATTGATGTATCAGGACAGATCCGATAAACTGACTTTTTATCGGATTAGGCTGTGGAAGTTCAACAGTATTTAAAATTAGTAGTCATTAACTTGTTTCCATAAGCCTATATAATAGTTACTATTTATTTATGTAGATCGAAGGAGTACGGTTTCTGTGGAAGAATATAGTTATGTTTAACAAGGGGTGTGTTCTCGCACATTCCATGGGTTTAGGTAAGAGTTTTGTGACATAAATACGTACATGGAAATGATAAACCATATCTATCAAAAACTTTTTAGGGAAAACATTACAAGTTATTACCTTTTTATATACCCTCTACACGGTTCGATCAACAGATTCTCGTGCGATTCGTGATCATCTCAAGGTAAATATCATACAATATTTGTAATTTATTTAAACTAAAATGTTAGAAATTTAATGTCATTTGCTTGCAGGCCTTTCGAGTGTTAATTCTTTGTCCAAAAATTGTTATTGATAATTGGGAAAACGAGTTCATATCTTGGCTTAATGAAAATGATCTGAAAGAACCCATTTTTCCGGTTTATAAATTAGGAGGTAGGGCGTATGAACTAAATCAAATTATTTTATATATTAAAAGATCTCATAACCTCTTTTTAGAAATTAAGGATTTTAAAGAGAGACGTGATTTGATAAATAAATGGAAAAAAAACGACAAGGGCGGCGTCTTCATAATTAATTACGAGATGTTCAGGCAACTTGTAATGAGTGAAATCGATGGGTCCGAATTTCGTGAATGTCTTTTAAACCCTGGACCATCCTTAGTTGTGGCAGATGAAGGTCATATTTTAAAGAACAAAGAGGTAAAGAGTTTAATATTTCAAAATTTTGGATTCAAGTTTTCACTGATAGCAACATTATAATCTTTTTTAGACTCAACTTCAAGAAGCCCTCATGCATTTGAAGACTCCCAGTCGTATAATACTCACCGGATCACCTTTACAGAACAATTTGGTATGGCCTTGTTGATATTATTGTGCAATGAGTATCCCTTAATACTTATATACTTATCCATATTCCATTTATCATAGATTGAATACTGGTGCACGGTATACAGACACCTTTTTCCCAATAAAGTTGGTTTGAATATTAACAAAACGAACTTATCATTATTAATATCAATATTGTAGATAGATTTTGTGTGTCCAAATTACCTTGGAACACTTGAAGACTTTAAAAGAGTTTACATTAACCCAATCGAACATGGACTTTATGAATCTGCTGATTCTCAAGAAAAGAAGGTAATTTCAGATATATATATGTTTGTTTGGGCTTAATTCGCGTGATTTTAAGCGTATATGTTCAATTAGACATCAAGGAAAATGCTTTTTGTACTTAGTCGTATAATAGAGGACGTCGTTCATAGGTATCTACTTTGTTATATCTTTGTCAAAATCTGTATTTATTTCTTTTAATTAACATACATTTAATGGTCAACAGGCGAAATGTATCGATACTTGAACGTGAACTTCCACCGAAAAGTGAATTCCTTATCACATGCCGAATGATGGACCGACAATTGGAGCTTTATAAAGTATGAATCGTCTATTATTAACTATTACAGTCATGATTGTATACAATACACTTAATTCCTTTGCCCTTAGTCTCTTATCAAAAAACTTAGCGCAGTAGGTGCGGGTGGACAAGTAATACGATACGCCGATCTTTTGAGTTCGTATTTTTATTTTTTGTTCTTTTTACAAATTTACAGTTATTGAACATTCTTAGTTGTGATTTTAAAATTAATTCTTTGGTATCTTAGGCATTCTTTGCAATCATCCATCTATTTTCTTTGTACGTATTATTTATTATATATTACGGCTGCAGTTATAAAATCTCACCTACACTTATCCTTTTAGAATACGTTGGATAAGGAGAATAAAAATCTGACTGAAAGTAATACACTTATACCTGCCAACGAGTATGTTTATTTACGCAATTTATATATAGAATCTTGTGTTTGCGATTATTGCTAACACCTAATTAGGTCAAAAACTGTACGTGAATATATGCATAATATTTGTCGTGAATATAAAGGTGAATAAATTAAATCCTTTTACAATAATTATTAGAGTTATTCTGATTATTAGTTTTCATATTATTTATTTTAGGTCTTGATGAAATTTCTGAGTCGAGTAAAATGCAAATTCTCAAAGAGATCTTAATTAAGTGTGAGCAAATAGGAGACAAGGTCATTGTATTCTCAAAATCAATACCAACATTGAGTAAGTGTCAGTTCTTATTATATGAAAAGGAAAAAAAATGTAATTTGAATGCTTATAACCTTATTTTATACATTTTATATGTATGATAGATTATATAGAAAGGATGATTCTCAAAAGTGATACCTATATACGAATTGATGGAGAGACACAAACTAAAGTAACATAATAACCCTGCTATATATGTTTTATAATTCATAATGCATTTTAACGCTTGTCTTCCTAGGAACGACAACGTTCTATCGATTGTTTTAATAAATCAAAGTTTTGGAAAGTTGCATTGATATCAATAAGGGTAAACATCCGGTATTTGTAATTTATCAATCAAATTAGAATATAACCAAAGCTTGTGTTTCATAAACTGATAGACAGGTGGCCTTGGAGTCAACATGTATGGTGCCAATAGAGTAATCCTCGTCGATGGTGAATGGAATCCGAGGTTTGACATTATTTGATACGTTTACTGTTTCAATCGAATATTTGTTTAATACTTTTTACAAATAGTTTCGCAGAGCAGGCTATTGGAAGAGTAAGTCTGGAACAACAATATCATAGCGGTATATAAAATATTTATCAACAATTTAACTTTAAACATCTTTTTAGGTGTATAGATATAATCAAAAAAAGGCTGTATTTGTGTATCGGTTTATCACAAACGGGACCTTTGAAGACAAACAGTTTATCCGTAATGTTCACAAAATGGGTCTTTCATTGTAAGTTTTATACTTATTTATTTATTTATTATGAAAATCACTAATTCTATTATTTTTAATTAGGCGTGTAGTTGATCAAAGAAATTTAAGCAGCATGTTGTCAAAACAAGATGTCAACTCGGATTTCTATATTATTCCCGATTCAACTATTGCATGCAAACTTCCAGAGAATCTAGATTTTGGAGATAAAATTCTCGAAAATATTGCTAAACGGTAAACGATTTCTTTTCTGACTGTGATATTATGTAAATATTATACTAAGGTGAATTTTGTTATATGTTTGCACAGCAATCGCGATAGAATTATTGACATTCAACGAATGAACGTGTATTTTAACGAAGATCAATATAACTTAGATAATGAAGATAAACTTCATGCAGAAAGACTGCTAGAAGAGGAAAAAAGTCGGCTTCAGATTTAATACAGATTCTTATAGGATGTAGTTGGCACGAATAACTGACAGTTGAGTGTTTGATTTTGGGTGACTTAATAATTTTAATAATTTGCACGCTTTTATTAATTTTGCAGGAAATTAAGTAGTGAATAAATAAATTGCATTTCAATTGGTAAATTAATATTTGTGTTAGTTTTATTTAATCATATATATCAATTGATTACACACTCGTTGCATAATGAATGAGGACCATCAGTAAGTATTCATGCAAAACAAATTATATTGAGTAAATGTAGAAATGAGAAAAATTCCAGAATCGGAATTTCACTCCTTATGAACATGCCACGCTTTCTAAGTGTTGGTCAGGGTTTATCATGTGAAAAATGACCGTTTTACTTGATCTTATTTGATCTACTCTTTGTAATTTGCAAATTCATACCTTTTTTGAATTGATTGACTAATTTATTCTCTTTATATAAATCCACTATATGACGAACATATTCGAAGTTTTGCCAACTTTCAAATAATAAATGAATCTAATTTATGTTTTAATTTGTACACAATTTTAATTTATGGTTATATATTTTT